TCTAGGAGGGCAATGAGTGTTTTTCTAGTGGTGGGAGTGATTGATTTAGTTGAAAATCAAAGAATCAATTTGGTTGTTATTCGGGTCGGTTTTGCGGCTTCTCCTTTAATTTTTGGCTACATTTGATGTTTTCTTCCTCTCAAAATTGTTGAAAATGGTCAATCCGAGTGTGGACTACAAGTCGGTGGTGGCTATTGGGTGGTTTTGGCCATGTAGTGGTGGTTTTTGGGAAGAAAAGGCTAGTACGTCTAACGAGTTAAAGAAAATCGATGGTGTGGCTTCGGGTAGTTAAAGACTATTTGGCTCTTTTTTTTAGGGTGGTAGCCTCTTTATTTATTTTTCTCTAGCATGTGGTTATGTGAATGCTAATTTTTTTTAGAGAGATGATGAATAGTCATCCTTTTACATCTTTTCTATTTTGTTTTTATGTAAGATGGGTGATAGAGGTCGTTTTTTTTAAAAGGAAGATGTGATGGAGGTTAGTTTTTATTTTTTATGTTTTGGTAGGAGATGAATAATGGAGGCCCCTTAAAAAATAAGTGAAAGAGTATTTATATATGGATTGTTTTTTTGGATTTGGGATAAAACCAAATTTGTTTCTTCCTTGGTTTGTTTGTTTGTTTGTTTGTTTTTTGTTTTTTTATCAATTTCAATGTACATTTTATTATTTTTCTTCAATTAGCTCCTTAATTGAAATTATTTAATCTTTATTCTCTTGATTTCTTTTAATTTCACACTCGATTAATTCTCAATTAAGTTTCTTGATTTTATCCTTTTTCAATTACATCCCTAATTGAATGTCACTTGACTCTCGCTTTTCACTTTATCTTCATTTAGATCCTAAATCATCTTCTCAATCAATTTTTTCTTTATTTTTTTCTCTATTTTTTTCTTAATTAAAAATAGAAAATAATTCTAAAAAAATTAAAATTCTAGAATTTATAAAAATGCCAAAAAATACAAAAAAAAATAAAATAAATAAATTATACAACATTCTTTTTTTTTTTTTTTTAATTTTGTATGAAAATGAAACGAGGGGTCAAAATGGGTTATTACAAATGCAAGAATTAAATATCAATTGGGTCGCAATATTTGATAGTTGAATTGTAAATTATCAAATATTATCTCTTATATTTTTAAATTTAAAAATCAGAACTATAATTCAAAACGTCAAAGTATGCTAATTAATAGTGCATATATTAAATATCAGTAGAAAATGTCTTGGTGGTGGGGGGCGCACTGACAGCCAGATACATTCGTTTTGGTTATTTATTATTTTTTAACAAAACATACTGTACGTACGTTTGAGTCTTAATTCACTTAATTAATGTAGAATTGATAAAACAAGTTCTACGAGTTTGCAACCATATGCAGTATAAGGATGCACAACCTGCTAGTCTCCTGATTTTGAATCGAGTTGGATGTTTTATTTGGCAATCCAAAGTTGGTTTTAGTAGTATTAGTTTCATAATTGCCCCATAAATTGCGTGTATGTAATTGTTTCCTAAGTTGTAAGTTAAATGAACATGCATGTAAGATTTCCTATTTTTTTTATAAAGATGGGAAATGGAAACAACTTTTCTTATGAGCAGCAACTTCCTTTTCAATTCACATCAGAGCAAATACTCAGAACATCTTTCTTTTTAAAAAAAAATCGGCGAAAAGGACAACAATCAAACTAGAATATATATATATATATATATATATCCTTTTTCGTGTGAGTGGGGACTATGGGATTATACGTGCTTTAATTTTACAATGTTGTTTGCGACAAAGCATGATTTTGTCTATCAACGGATTAACTTCTCTAATACAAGCAAGCTTGATATACTAAAATATATAAATTTAGTTTCTATTTTTACAAGAGTTTTGTTGGATTTAATATATATGTTGTAGGATTATGAAAACATAAACCCTAAGTAGCATGCTTCTCCATAATTTTAGAAAATAAAGCAATTCATTGTTCAAAGCTCGATCACACAATTCTCAATCAAAGCAAAATATGTATGAAATAACCTAATTAAATATTGTTTTAAAGCATAAACAAAACAAAAATAATTAAATGAATATTAAAGCATCGATTTGATCGTTAAAAAAATCTAAATTAATACGTGATAAATTATTGATGTACCTTCATCAAATGTAGCATTAATATCTTGAATATAGTTATATATATATATAGAGAGAGAGAGAGGTTTAAGTTTTAACCAATAACGGTATATTAAACTTCAACTATTTTTGGATTCGATTTTTTAAAACAAAAAAAAATGATTTTTAAATTTGAATGATCTATTCAAAACATTTTTTGTTAATAAAAAGAAAGACTAAATAGTGGTTAATTATGAATAAAAACCATGGAGACATGGGGTTGCAAATGCACAAAAACAAAATAAGGTCTTATGGCATCATAATTACGACAATAATAACATAAATTTTATTTTGGGATGAGTATTAAAAGAAATTAGGAAATATAATTTTTCAAAAAAAAAAAAAAAAGGAAAATAGTTTGGCAATCTTCTTGTAAGTTTAAGATCCCTTGCTCTCCTGGAGCTTACGCGCGCTTCTCTCAAACAAAATTGAACTCCAGATTTCGTAAAATTGTGGACTCTAATTTGAGGCGTGCTAGTAAAATTTCCAAAGTCTTAGCCAATGTTTTTAAGGTCTAGAGATCAGTAGATTGAAAAGCTATGAATTCTTGTTAAATAGCTTTCAAATTCTAAGCTTTTGAGTTCTGTTCCTCTGTGCTTCTGTCTCACCAGTAAGAGTTTGGGCCTATTTACGTGCTAGGTGAATTTGTATTTTTCTAATATAGGTAGGATTCACAACCAAATAAAAATCCAATGGACGATCATCAATTTTATAGGAAATCTAAGGGTCAAGAATGAATTTAGAGCAGAAAATTTTCCTTTGAGCCTAATGGAAGAAAGCCCAAAACGTGGAAAAGAAGGAAACTTGCGAAACTAGATTATGTTTGGTATGATTTTTGAAAATTGATTGATTTAAATTGTTTTTTAACTTTTGATTAAAAAAATTATAACTATATTTAGTTATAAATAACTTTTAATTTATCATCAAAGAACGTGATCTAGTGATAAAAAATTATTTTTATTTGATCAATATCAAAATTTAATTTTTATTATTTACGGATAACTAATCATAATTATTTTTTAATGATACTACGTTTAAGCTGATTTGATCTCGAAAAATAGTTTAGTGATTTATTAAAAAACTAGATGTATTCTACCACCGACTTAGGTCGGAGAGTTGTGGACTTAATCTTAATTGATGTCAAAGTCGATCCGAACGGTGGATTTAATCTCGATTAATGCAAAAATTAGTTCAAAAATATCTCACTATTTGTAAATATTAAATAATAATAATAATAATAATAACTTTTAACTTAAATTAAAAGTTTATGACAAATTTGAGTCAAAATTTTACATTAAAAATTTCAACTTTTAATTTATGAATTATAACTTATTCTACATTCATTATATATATATATATATATAGAGAGAGAGAGTCATTTTCACCAAACTTATGCCAAATTTATTAAGTTGTTTTTATTTTTTAATTTATAGAAAAGTAAAAAAAATATATATATATTTTTTTTTTGTGAAAAATGACTTTTCATTTGAATCAAAAGTTTGTAAAAAAAAATTGAGTAAAATTTTTATTTAATCAAAACTTAAAATTTTTAATTTTTAACTCGTCGATTATAACTTATGTTACCTTTCTTCTTCAAATAAGTTGTTTTGAAAATAAATTAATTATGAAAATAAGTTTTAAATTATAACTCAAAGTTAAAAGTCATTTCAAACGAATTCTAACTCATGAAAGAACATCTGCCTTTCAATCCCACTGGCACCAAGTAAACGTGTTTTTTATGGTTGATATTAAAAGTTTATTATTTACCAAGTTAAAAAATTGAGATTAGATTTCTTCTAAAACTTAAACTTTGTGATGATATATCATTAGAAAATTATGAATGTTTGGTTTCTAATGTAATTTGAATCACAACAAAAATTCATGCTAGAAGGACATACATAGCAAACAGAGTGAAAGGCTTGGATTCTAAGCATGTTACAAGTTACGTTTATCGTCCTGTTTTGCCAGATTTTGCTATGTTCCATTATTTTGCATGTCTAATAAAATTATACCCTATTTTCAGAAAAAAAAATATATTGTCATTTCGCCAATACCAACAGTGTCATAAGCACGCCTTCATACCTTAAGTTTATATATATATGTAAACTCGCACTTAAAGTGCGTATTGATCCCTTAATAGTGAATAATAATGTTTGTGTGATTACACTTTGAGGTTCAAAATTAAGTTTTTATAGATTCAAATAAAAGATCGCATGTGAAAGAGCCACTCAACCTAAAAAAAATTAAAACTTGTTTGGTATCATTTTTGTTTTTTATTTTTGGTTTATGTTTTTGTTTTCAATTTTTTTTATTAGTTTTTAAAAAAAATTAAAACTTGTTTGGTTCGTTAATTTTTTATTTTAATTTTTCTTATACACAGTTTCTATCAGATACTCAAGTTATTGGGACTAATCCTTAGACTCTCCACACTCGAAACTCGAACATTCCTAACCCAATCTTGAGGTTCCATAGATCTAATCTCAACTCAACACCTTGGAGCTCCATACTTGATCTTGGCTCAATCCCTGGTGTTTTGAACTCGACCATATGCCCTTCAAACTCGATCACAATCCATACCATGGATGCTCTAGACCGATCACAATTGAAACTCAAAACATCTTAGATCCTATTATAGTTGGAATTTAGGTGACCCAAACTCAATCTCGAATTGACGCTCGGGTGCCTCAGACCGCCTTTTAGGTGCCATGGAATTTAGGCTCTAATGCTTCAAACTCAATCTCAAACCCCAAATGCCTCGTAATAGGTCCCAACCTGAACCCTTGGTGCCTCGAATTAGGTCCTGATTCGAACCCGAGCATCCAAGACCCCAACGCTAGTCTTGATCTGAATCCCTAGGATCCCAGATCCATTTCCAAGTGCCATGAACTAGGTCCAATACCAACTCTTGATCGCTCCAAAGTGATGTTGGATGGAATCTCAGGATTGTGAACTAGGTCTCGGCACAAACCTGGGGCATCCTAAACCAGATCCCAGCCTAAATCTTAAGGATCCCAAATCAGGTATTGATCTGAATCTTGAGCACGTTGAACCAGATTTAGGCCTGAGCGACTGATATAATCCACGTTCATCTCTCAAATCTCAAACCTGATCTGATTTCAAAAACATTAAGTGATAGCGTAAAAAATAGTTTTGAAAACTCATTTTTTTCTCCTTAAGTTTTCATATCTTGCTTTCAAAAATTTAAAAACAAAAATAAAAACCAGAAGAACGAAAATAATATTAAAAAATTCTTAGCTTTTAAGTGAGCTTGTAAGGGTATAATTTTATTAGATTCCTAACACACTTTCCACCTCCCCATCCACGGATCTCTCCGTTGAGGGTTTCAAGGATTTGATTATGTGCTTTCTTTAGCAATGTTGCATTTCATAGCTCTTCCTTCGCAATTAATTTTATTTTCTCAATAAAAAAGTTGAATAAAAAAAACAGTTCTATAAATTAATTAACCAATTATCAATGACATCTGCTACAATGTTTCCTATCATCTGATCCTAAACACAACATCACGAGATGAATGGCATCACACATTAATCATTAGGTATGCAATATTTTCCCAATTGGTGCAAGTATAATGAATTGCACAACTTCTGTGAAAAAACTTATAGATTTCATTAACTGTAATCTCTATATCATTAATATGATAATATGAACACATTAGTAGAGAAAAAGAAATCTAGATTTATATTCATCAGATTTTTTTATTATTATTACACATGTATTTGATTAATAATTTACTCAAAATTGAATAGCAAAGCAAAAGGAAATTAATTCAGAAACTAAAGGGATAAAGAAAGGCCATAAAAAGGAGAAAATTACCAAAAGAAAAAACTCTTAAAAACTTCCCACTAAACACCGTTACTGTATTTTGTTTATAACCAAAATGCGCTATTATAATAGAATTAATGGTTTTAGAAGGCCTTTTATTATTATTTTTATCTTTATCTTGTCATTCTATATTTTTTGGTTTTAAGTTCATCCCTCAATATTTAGTTTTTGTCTTAATCTTGTCTTTCTATTAAGTTTTAGACTGAGGATATTAATTTTTTTCTTTTGTCTTAATCAATCTACTCTCTCTCTCTCTCTCTCTCTCTCTCTCTCTCTCTCTCTCTCTCTCTCTCTCTCTCTCTCTCTCTCTCATATATATATATATATATATATATATATATATATTTGTCTAATCTTGTTCATTTTTATCGAATTTAAATAAATAAATTTTAGGAAAAAAAACTAGAAAAAGGTGAAGATATACCCAATCATTTTTTTATCCAAAATATTCTTTATGGACTTAAATTTGTCTCTATGATAATAAGCAAATTTTGAGTATAAAATGAAATATTTATAGTTTTTTTTTAAATACTAAGAGATACTAAGAGATTTTTAGTTAAAATTTTAAAATTAAGAATTAAGAATTTTGTAAGATCAAAATGAATAAATTATAGTAGACTTTTTGAAGTATTATAAAATTATAAATATCATTCAAAAGTTTAAAATTTAACTAAAAATCTCTTTATATTTTTAAAAAATATTATAAATCTTTTATTTTTTATTTAAAATTTGGTTACTATCATAGAGATAAATTTGAACCTTTAAATGATATTAAGGATAAAAAAATATTTTTAACTTAAATTTTTTTTTTAATTTCAATTTTCGGAGAGAATGACTAGATATATCTTCAACTTTTCTTCATTTTTTTTTCTAAAATTCATCTATTTAAATTTGATAAAAAAAAATTAGATTAAGGTGAAAAAAATAGAGTAGATAGATGAGATTAAAAAAAAAACAAATTGATGCCGTTAGTCTATAAGTTAACAAAAATACAAAATTAAGACAAACCAAAGGTAGAAAGTATGAACTTAAGACGAAAAAAAAATAAATAAAGAGACATAAAAGGATTAGAGTTTCTCTATATATTATATATAAAAAAAATTAATGGTTGTAGAGGTATTTTCATTGTAAGTGACAAAACAAATTATGATGGATGAAAAATATTTTGGATAAAAAGTATTAACTTTAATTTTATTTATTTATTTAAATTCAGTTAAAAAATCAAGAAGAAAAAATAGAATAAAAACTGATATTAAGAAAACAATTAATAAAAGTCCGAGATTAGAACAAATCAACGTAAAAGATATAAAATCAAGATGAAATAATGTAGCTCAATAACTATTAACCTTTTTATAATATATAGACAAACCCCAATCCTTTCGTGCTTCATCCATCGTAAGCGACAAAACAAATTATGGTAGTTGAAAATGTGAATAACATATTGAATGCTAGCTAGCTATCACATTAAACTATAAAATGTTTTCTTCTCACTAATTGCCCTTTGGCCACTCTCATACTTAGCCAAACGGCCTAAACCCAACAATAATGCAAAGAGCTTCTTCCTTTTTTGTAATTTTATATTCTTTAATACATGTGGTCCACCCAAAAGGCTTATCGTTAATAACACAGAGGCAATGTTAAATTAAGCGATATAGCCTAATAATGGTTTTCTTGTTAATCGTGTAGTTCAATAATATTTTATTCAAAACATGATGGTTAGTTTTTCAAAATTTAGCAAGTTGTCTTTGTCACGGCAACTATTTACAAGGACAATCTTTTCTTAATCTAGTTAGGCGTCTTATATCATTGTTTAGTCATAACGATTAACATATTAGTATCGTGTGGTTCATGTAAGAAGTTTCTATCCAGTTTTACCAACTCTAGGTGGGGTTTTGGCTGTCGTGGCTCACAGATCCCAAGCAAAAATATTCTTTTCAATCACATCATATTTACTCGTAACATTACAAGTTTCCTTCTAACCACTAACTGTTGGGCTTTGCTATACTTATTATTAAACATTTTTCACTCGTGACATGTTAGTATCGTGTGGTTCATGCATGGTCCCAGTCAGCAGGTTGATTTTCTGTTTTAAAATATGTTGAGAAAGAGCTGGGATTCATGGTTAAAAAAAAAAAAGCTTTGGACCTGCTTTTTTTTTTTTTTTTTGGGTGATAAATTGAGTTGCGTGGGGTTCTTGGATCGGTTGGTTTGATGGTAAGGTTTTTGAAAATGGATAAGGAAAACAATGGAGATCACGTGTATTTTGCCTTCACATGATTAATATGTTATTGTTAGCAAATGGGATCTAGTACTTTTTCTTCTTCTATTTTTTTTCCCTTCTCTTATCTACTCTATTTTTTATAATTAGTTTTCTTATTTTTCCTTTCTCATACATATGTCACAATGATCTCATTTAATCCGATAATGTTTTTTTTTTTCGAACAAAACAAAGTGATTAATGATTCTTATTTTATCTAATTTGTTTTTATAAAATAATTAAATTTTCAATTTGTCTTTCTTATAATATTTTCCAATCAAACCATTGGAATCAATCATGTGATATGCACATGACTTAATATTATGTCAAAATAAACCTAAGGTAAAAGAAAAACTAGCTCAATTAGTCTTTATATTCAAAGCTCAATCTCTAATATGTTCTTAAAAATTTAATTACTCTCAATTTATTTTTATATTTTATATCATTCTCTAATCTATCATTTTAGTAGATATTTTCATGCAAACCAACAAACATGAGAAAAACACTACAATTTGAGTGCCAATAGTTGATTTTTATTATGTTTGAGTACGTAATATTTTATTCTATCTATTTCAGAATATAATTTTTAATGAGATTTGTATTGGAGAAAAGACTCCATTTTCATTTTAAAATTTTTTATTAGGCACTCAAACGAACAGAAAAAGGTTAGGCATCACGTAGACAGAATAAAAATCAAAAGTTAGACATCTAAATTGTTGTTTTCTCTAACAAAAATACCCTTAGTTGATAAACTTAAATCTCACCTAATTTATTAAAAAAATGAAAAGAAAACAAATTGTCATGTGGTGTTAAAATTCGTTTTTTTATATAATAAATTTGAGTTTTTCATTTGAGGGTATTTTCAACAATTAATGCATTGACTCACACTTTCTCATGATGAATATTTATTGTCTTTTCTTGTTTATTTCATTCAATTACCTTTTCCTGCTCCAAGTATAAAAAATAAATAAAATATGAGAAAACAAAAGGGAAAATATCTCTAATTGTATTTTTAATTTTTTACTATTGTTTGCATTGAATAATAAAATATAATATGCGATTACATTTTACATGGGTTTATATAACTTTCCGAAAAAAAAAAAGAAGGGAAAGGCTTTACCAGAAAGAAAAAAACAATTGAGCAAGTAACTTGCCCGCTTAATTTTAATCGATTGTAGAAAAAAAAAACAGCCCAAACCCATCTACTGGGCCGCTTTGTTTGGTCCAGGAATCCAGACGCTTGGGTCAATCACATCACTGGTCGTAGCTCATGGGCTTTGGATAGTTGCCAATCCAAAAAACGGAATGGCATGTCTTGCAGACAACACGTGGCTTGCTACCATGGTTATTAAAATTCCTTGTCAAAACGTAAAATCTTAAGATATTACGATCCAAATTAGCCCAAGCGATCTAAATCCCATTAAAATCGCATCTGCTTGAAAAAGGTCGTTGGATCAGTAAAATCGTTGAAAAAAGCGATTTTAAAGGGATTTTATACGATTTTACCCAGACATCATAATTTCCATTTGTGGGCCTTTCAAAGCAAGTTGGCAGCCCACTCAATTAATTGAGGTCTAGTTCAAGCACACGAATGCAACCATCAGAGAGGCCCGCTGATTATTATTTCTTTAAAACACTTTGAGTGAGTCTACCAACACGTTCATACAACATATATATTTTTTAAAAATTTATATCCACTAACATCAGATCATATAATTGTATCGCTACTTTATTATATCATGCAATTAGTATGTTGAGATTATGGGGAGAAAGTTTATATTATCCAACAATTAACTTTTTACGGCTGATAAGTTAATGGGTGATGTTTATCTTCTCTCAGAGAATGTGAAATATATTAACAAAGATCTCCATGCTGTTTTCTTTTCACTCTCTTTAAATTTTAGGGAGTTCATCAAATGGGTAGTAGAAGTTCGGAGACAAAAGGATGGTGGTCAAATTTTAAGCCAAAAAGAAAAAGGAAGGCTTTCTGTGGAGGTGTTGCATAGTTTCATTTCATTTCAGTTCTCTCTCATAAACTCGTGGGATGTTTGTCTGTAGTTTTTAAAATTTTGAAACCCAACCCTGAACTTGATGAATGACTTGAGCCACCGGTTTGAAAAAAGAAAAGAAAAGGAATTTCAACTAGATTTGACACATTGAACTTGTGCTGTAAATTTTGTGACATCACTGCTTTCTTGTTTACTGTTGGCAAGTGTTTGTTGTTGAGGAGTCAAATAACGATTAATGTTCTTGTTCATCATTTTTCTGACGTTGTCGTTGGTCAGGAATACTCATAAGAGTAATGAAAAAATGCCAAGTTTATTTTCGATCTTTCCATATGTTAGATCTAATTTATTCGGTGTGCCAAAGCCTTTAACAAAAGTTCAGATTTTTTGGTTACGGTTGTCAAAGGTGCGATTTTAGGGGATTTCATCTTATCTGTCCTAAAAAATATTAAACATTAAATTATGGAGACCCAAATTTCTAATTTTCCATGTTGAGGTCCTGCTCAAATTCATAGGACTTTAGCCTTTTATATTTTAATATTCGAATCATCATTGAAATTCCTAGTATCACTTTCTTTATTTTTTATCGTAAAAAGATGGGACGCAATAGGTCTCCGTATTATAACCAAAAACATGCATGTTCACTTTTTTACAACTTCAAGGGTCCTCGTTACCAAACCATACATGATGATGATTTCATTAATCAAATCTTAGATGGAACAGTAAGAATTAAGTGCTTTGTTCAACAAGAATCCAATTTTCCTAAAACCATTATGTGTTGGAAGCTTAGGTAGGGCCTTCCATAATACTTGGAGCATAGGAAACCAAAATTTAATTCCCAAGCCTCATTCACAAATTGGCACTACACCACAATTGTGGTATAGAGGCGGAATTATTGAAGTGGTTGTCTTAACTACCTCAAAAATTGATAATATATACCTAGTAATGGTTTTTTTAAAAAAGTTATTAGGCGGTTGGTAAAACGACTCCAACTTTTAAAATTTAATTTTGATTCTCAAACAAGAAACAAAATCTTTGTACTCCCACCCCTCACTTGAAACAAGCGCCTCTTTTTAGGTTTTTGGTTCCTCCTATCCTCACCCTTCACCTTGAAAAAAGAAATTAGGATTTTTCTCTTCTCCTTCAACGACAAACCGCCCTCTTCCCTTGAAAAAGAACTTAGGATTTTTCATTTTCTCCTTCAACAACAAACCGCTCCCTTCCTTTGAATCTTCTCCTTCAATAAAAAATCGCCCCTTCCCTTGACAAAGAAATTAGGATTTTTTCATCTTCTCCTTCAACAACAAAGAATTAGGTTTATTCATCTTCCCTTCCAACCCCAAACAAATTAGGTTTTTTTGTCTTCCCCTTTCGCCCCTTTCACCTAACAAAAGCAATGTTATGAAGTTTAATTGCATGCCTACCCTTATTAATTCTTGAGCTAGAAGGTTTTCAAACAATGGGTTATTTTATTTTATTTTATTTCAAATCAGCTTGCTTTGTATCAAGACAAGCATATCGATCCGAATTACTCGTAGAAGTCATCAAAATCATTACCGATGTTAATATTGATGTCAATTTTGCCGAGATTGACACAAAGGTCTCTCTCTCTCTCAATGCAATTTGCACGCACCATCAATGACATCTTAGTTTTGCATTCTTTTCTAATTATCTTTGTCATCTCATAGGGATTAATTGCCGGAGACAAATTTCATTTCAATTATAGAGGAGCGAGGATTGAACTGTTCCTTGTCTCGGGTAATTAGTTAAGTTAAAACTATGGTTGTTTGGTAATTATAAACCTTGTTCTAATTACAATAAGTATAGTCCCAATTCTCCTTGCTTGCTTTCCTAGAATGGGAAAGTGAAATCCTATGATTAATTAATAAATAAGTTACATCTTTTACTTCTTTACAAGAACATACCGTATCTTTACAAAACTAGATTAATTTAATTTATGAACCTAAGCATAATTTACTTTCTAATTAATTTTCCGTTCACCACTTTATATATATATTCCGAATTTGCGAGGTTCGTGTGAATTGTCTACGTTACTACCTTTGAAGGCGGATATTGATAGCTATTAGTGCTAGGGGTCACCATTCTTGATTGTAAACTCAATGTAACGTTG